CAGGGCCCCAGAGGCCCAAAAGAGGATGACTTCCCTCTTCAGTTCTCATAATGCATGTGAGGAGGCTTTCGGTGGATACTAGTGAACCTCCAAGTGGCACTAGGCTGCGTTAAAGTACTTACCACTGAAAGAGAAAGGCGCTTGGAAGCCACTTTTAGCAAGTCATTTGGTGTTCTACCTTGGATTGTGCAAATGAAATCTGACTATCTTCACTTAAACACTTAACCCTGCTCCTTTGTTGAACTTGGGAGCCTCCTAATGCTGCAGACCTAGAAGGTCAGAGTGCTTCCCTGAGATTTTCTGTGCCAACTCCAGACCTGGGAAAGAAGGGATGAGGTGACAGGAGGAGGAAAAGAAGTCTGCACATGCTCTTCCTCCAAATATCCCTAAATAAGCTAACAACTGAAAAACTAAAAACCCAGCGTGGTCTGAATGCCAGAGTGTCCCATTTAAGCCCGGTTTGGCTGGACTGCACCTGACTGACGTTTAGCCGGGCTGGTTTCCCTGGGCTGACCCTGGCAGGGATTTGGCCTTGGCCAAGGGTCTCCCCTCAGGAGTGGTGTGTCCTGAGGAGGCTGCCGGCTTTGGAAAGGAAAGCAATAAAGTTAATAGTGACACCAGCCAAGGAAGCAGTGTTCCTTACAAAACAGAAACCTTTTCTCTCTGTCCCCCAGGAAGTCGTGGAGTGGCTACAAATGCTTGACCTTAATCAGAGAAAGAGTCTTTCAGCATCGTCATCGGGAGTGGTTACACCTTGGACGTTAGCAGGTGGATGGAGATTTCAAAAGGCCAGTTCAGGTTTAGTGTCAGAGCACACAGTTCCAGTTCTGGGGTGAGAGACTGATCTCCTCTGGGCTGCTGTCTGCTAAGCCAATCAAGTTGCTTTGATTTCTCCCTGCTGTCATTGAGATCACGATTTCTTGTAAATGTTTTTACTAATCAGTCTGGCAGAATCCTGAGATTTCCTGTGTCTTTCTTTGATGCTTGGAATATTCAGTTCATGACCTATTTGTTAAATATAATGGAAACTGGAATTTCTCAGGAATAGATGTTTTGTTTAGTGAGTAAAAAAAACATGCTAGGGTTTGTATTTCATTTAGCTCCTATGATATTTTCCTGTGATATAATGTTATGACTGAATTCCAGAACTGAAATTTCTGAAGAAAGAGTTTCATTTTTAGGTTTAAAATTATTTTGATGCTCTTTTGCAGTTGCTTACCTGTACTGCTTCTGCCACTGTAACAAAAATTGCAACGTATCTTTCCCCTTTGCTTGTTTACATAGGGCATGTAGGTCCATTCTTCATAGTTGAATTGAACACCAGAGACAGAAAATTAGCAATAAGCAAAGCCTTAGCAAGCCAGTGGTACAGTATACAATTTTCCTAGATTTTAGGAATCTTTCATATTGTTGGATGTATTAGAAATGTTCCTTAATATGGGCAAATTATTTAAAATGGTTAATGGTGCACTAAAAAATGTGTGTGAAATCAACAGGAAAATTTCTGTGGAGTGAGGATATCCCTCCCTATTTTTTTAATCTCTTATGCAACATTTTGACCACGAGTTACAGCCACTGTTAGTATTCATGCAGGGGGGGAAGGCTGCCAGTGCAAGTCAGCTGAAGGTCTGCTGCAGTGTGTACCGGCATAAACAAAGTTACTAGGATGAAAAACTGAGCATGGGAAGCTTGTGATTCTGTTGACCCTTTCCAGAATACAATATATAGCATCCCTTAGAAATCATGAGAATTAATCAGAGGAATGTGTTACAAATCTGGTATTTAAGTTCAGACCATCATTGGCTGTGTGATATGCTGGTTTAGATTGAAGACCCTGGTATTAATGGCAGACTGTGGTAAAACCTTGGCGATTTTTTTACCGGCTTTTCAGGGAAATCCTGAAAGTGTATTGGAAAATAATTTTCCAATATTTCCCCCCCAAATACACTTTGAGTTGAAACAGAATATATATTTTCTGTTAAGAAGTGAACGCGTCTGGCGAAAATGTGTTTTGATGTTGGTTCATTTGATTATTTGAAATTACAAGAGTATATAAATGCTGTTTTTAATCATCTGAGACTTTGTGCATTGAAATATTTCTGAGCTAAGTATAAAATGTCCCTCTGAGGTAAGCTGCTGGAGAAATGAGCTTGTATTGTTTTCTGGCCTAAGAGTGGCACAGAACAGTGCACATGGCAGTGTCTGTGGGGTACTTGCTTAAAATACTGTTCACAGAAGTGAATTTGTGAATTCAGTGGAAGGCACCTAGTGTAACTGCAAGGAAATGTGTGGGAGAAGAGGAGGCTTGGTTCCTGTTCCACCAGAAGGACCAAGACTCCTGTGGACTGCAATGCCTTCTCCCTTCATGTGTCACAGATACAAAGCACCTCGCAGAGATGAATCGTGTGATGGATGACCATGAGGGAGGTTTCTCGTGGGTCATGACTGATTAGAGAGCTTGGAAGCTAAACACAAGCGCTGGCATCCTTGTTGGACCACGCAGGTACTCTTTACGATTCCTTAATTCAGAGCTTCAAATGTCACCCCCAGCTCTTAAGTACATGGAAAATTTTAAGGCCCTGCATGGGTGCAGCCTGTGTCTAGGCAATAGATTTCCTATTCAAACAGACTGGGTCATAGTTGTTCATGATAAATATTCTGCACCTTTTTCTGATCTATTAATGGGTAGGAGGTTGATGAACTGTGTGTTTGGTTTATTGGTGCACTGTGCATATTTTAACGTTTCTGAGTTTTCCTCTCTCTCCCACAGTTCCACAGGTTGCTCTTCCCATGCTAGTCAGTCAAAGCATAGACTTTTATCAGCTTGATGGTCAAATGTTAACAGTAATTACAGCACTTGGAGAGTGAAGTATTACAATAATTCATTTTAATAAGATGTTTATTAGGTCATAACAACAACTATAAACATAAGTACCATTCAGCTCTTTGCAGATATACGAACTTACTAACATTGAGTCTTTACCAGAATCATGTATTCTTACAGGTGTCCCAGACACAACATTAACTTTATTAAGCAAAATTTCATAAATAGTAAAAATGTCCTCTGTTTCACATTGCAGCGTTCCTCAAGCATGTATGTACAAGTTTGGAGTATCGTCTCCAAATCTACGTGTCATAAACTTCCTTAGCTGTTTTAACAACCATAGAGATGATTTTTTTTTTGCCTGCAGCAAAGCCTTTTGTCCTTGAGCAATCTACAATTAGTATTGCTCTCAGCAGACATAAAAGTTCGTTTCTGAAATGAAAGTGGTGATGAAACAATACATATTATCTGCTCATAGTTTGCCTACACACTCTGCTGTCATTATAAATCTCTCAGTTATAACACTGTCTCCCAAGAACAATATATCTCCCTTATATCAGTTTTTTATCTGCACTGCCTCTCTTTGAAGATCTTAAAATGGTTGGCTTGCAGCAACGGAGATCTTACACTTAGGGTGGAGTGTGTTTACAGTCTGTTCTTTTCCTTTGTAATATTTACACCGCTTTTTTTTTTTAAAGGTTGCTACAATTTATTAATCATGTACGTTGACATATATTTTCTGAAGTGTTCACAGTGCAGTATTTTGTGGCCTAACCAAACTTTGTAAATGTCATTAAAAATAAACTTTTTTCTTAATATAAAAATAGAATACTTTATGTGTTTACACCAACAAACCCAGTTCTATCCTATACTAAACAAGCTATACAGTAGTATGCACAGAATTCCACAGGAACAGAAATGACATGTGATGCTTGCCCTAAAGCTATAGTACTCTTCCCTAATCAATCAAAGTTTTATTTACTATCTCTTTTCAAAATTGTTCCTCTGGTCACGATTTAGAAATAAAAGGAGGTATCATAGTTCACTGGGTTGTGTGATCCAAGAGGCTAGGTGGGCTGAAAGGTGTTTCTTCTTTTGGTCGGTCTTTTCAGCTCCTGAGGACCGGCACAGAGGAGTTATCGACCCTCCTTCTGTGGGAGCCTCTCTGTAGGTCGGGGCTGGCCGCAACGCCTCTGCTCCTTACTCACCTCCGGCGGCAGCTCCACCCCAGGGTAGGTAGCAGAGCGTCAGCGGCTCCCGTGTGACTCAGGCCGCAGCTCCCCAAAG